ATTGTGATAGTTGGTCTGTGCTCCGTTCAGTTGGTGCTCATTGTGTTACTGTGTTGTGTGTCTGTGTGCGGCAGGGCTGCTTCCTGGAGTCGGTGGATAAGGCCACGCTGTGCTGCCCTCTGTGCAGAAGAAGAGTCTCCACGTGGGCTCGGCTGAACAGCAGGAACAACTCTCTGGTGAACCAGCAGCTGTGGCAGCAGATCCAGAACTTGTTTCCTCTGCAGTGTCAGCGCCGCCTCAGCGGGCAGGACGCCGTGGACGACGACCGCCCAGGTACACAGACATCCCATAATACTCACAATGCCGGCTGAAGGTCAGGAAGCTGCTGCTGGATGTAAACGTGGACTGGATTGATTAGAAAATTAGTCTGATCTGGATTCATGCTCCTGTGGGGAATCAACACTTCAGTATTTATATTTGTGTGCTGCAGTGTCTGTCGCTCTGCAGTTCCACCACCACAGCACTAGGGGGCGTGGTGGTGTGGCGTTCTAGTCCCATGTTCAGGGGCTACAGGTAGAGGCCTTGGGTTTGAGTCCCGCTCATGACCCTTTCCTGCAGGTTCTTCCCCCATTCTTCTCCCCCACCGTCCTGCCTGTCTCTCAACTTTCCTATCGACAAAAGGCAAAAAGGCCAAAAAAAAAAAGAAGAAGAAAAAAAAAGAAATGCAGTGTTTATTGATCAGATTCATGATGTTCTCTGGTGTAGAAAAACGCAGCTGCAACCTTCCTGCAACATACATTTAACCAAAAATACAATCGCGTTTCAGTCAGCACAAGACAGAAATCCCAGCTGCTGTAGTGTTTACGTGTCCTCTGTGTGCAGTGTCGGAGTGTTTTCATCGACTCAGTGAACCTGGAGAGCTGCGGCAGGAATACGAGGACCAGATCACCAAAGTAAGTTTCCCTGCAGGTGGAGGCCTGGGGTCCTGGGGTACGTTGGGGTTAAATGGAGTACGCTGGGGTAAGATGGGGTACGCTGGGGTATGATGGGGTACGTAGGAGTAAGATGGGGTACGTTGGGGTNTGTCTGTCTCTAAGTGTAGCCCTGTGATAGACTGGTTACCTGTCCAGGTGAACCTGCCTTCACCCTGAGTCAGCTGGGATAGGCTCCGCCCCCCAATGACCCTGGTGAGGATTAAGGTGTAGAGATGATGGATGGATCTTTATATTGGAATCACCTGACAAATAATCCGGGATCAGACTGACTCCGGAGCACAAGGTGGCGCTAACGAACCTGAACCGCTGCTGACAAACCATATTAAAACTTCAGTTGTAGGCGCATGCGCATTGTGCCAGTAGCGTAGCCTGGCGGGTATTCGGTGCTAACGCGTCAGGCTCCGTAAACACGGCTAGTTTCTCCGGTAAAGTTGTGATTCTCCTGTGCTGACGCCGCAAACTTAAGGTTCCGTTGTGTCAGTATGAACTGACCGGATATTCTTGTCGTTACCGGCTAGCAGATAGCTGCCTCCTGTGTGTCTTCATCCTGTAACTGCTAGCTGCTAGCAGTTAGTTGCTAACAGCGTCAACGAACTGCTATGATCAGCGCTAAGGTTAGCCGCAAAGCTAACGTTAGCATCGACTGAAGCTACAAACGTCCAGGTGGAGCAGANAGCCTTCATGCTAAGCTATAGCTATTGAAGGACTTCATGAATTCAATATTCCAGGTTTTATTATTGATCTCAGGTGTTTTGATGAAGCTCACATGTGAAGATATTTTATGTAGTTTATTATTTGTACACAAACACTAACTACACATCAGTTTGTAGTTTTCGGGAGGACTATTTTTTGGTGAACCGTGTATTCATCCGCAAAGCATTTTGCACCTCTCATGTTAAAGACAGAATATTCGTTTGAATTATTCTGCTCCTGTTAAAACTTGTTTTGGGATTTTAAACATCTTGACTTGGGAGGTTAGAAATGCAGAAAGTGTCAGTCATCGTGCTTCTGTTTGGAGCTGAAGCTTTAGTGTTTTATAAGCTGTCGACTGTAAACTACTGAACATTTTCCTTACAGCTGAAACTTTCGCTGCAGTGAGAACAACAAATGTATTAGCTGCATTGTTCTGGTGAAATCTGTAAAAGCTGAAAATGATGACTGCCTCCTATAAGTAGCAATAAACAGAGATTTTCTGGATGGAGCTGGGTTCAGGGACGTCTCACCTGCTTTCAGTCCTGCTCAAACTGTCAGAAAGCAGAATAAAGGTGGATCCTGCTTTTGTGGAGTTACAGCTGCAGCTCTCTGATTCCTGGTGGTGAACCGTCACCTCACAGCTGGATTTCAGCATCTGGTCAGACGAGTCCAACAGAACTGCACCCAGCTGACAGCAGATTTCTGTGGTGTGTCCTGTTAAAACAGAAGAAGAAGACAAATGCTGTAAACTGGGACCAGAACCAGCTGGAGGTTTAATAAAGTGCCTGTCAGTATTTAATTCATGTGTTCATTTGTTGAAATCCTTGACTGGCTGAAAATCTGATTGTCTGTACGACTGCTGATTTCCGTGATAAACGTCCTTTAGGTTTCAGGACGACGTGACCTTTATATCACCTCCACCTTTATATTTACATCACACAGGTAAAGTCAAGAATTAGTCTCACTTCACTTTCTGTA